CAGCTAAAGCTCTTAGAGCTCTTTGCTGGCACAGTGACTTTCATAATCTGTCTTCTGTAAGGGACTACAGAAATAAAGGAGAGGACAAGTCCCATTTTCCTTACAATAACTTATTATCAAGTTATTTATTTTAACTAAAAATTACACAAATGTAACTTCAAAAATACAACTGTTTAAAAAGACATTAAAATTTGAATTGTCAGCGTAAAGACTGGGAAAGAACAGCAATATTTGATGAGCAGAACTATCTTTTGGTGCCCAGGAGAGCAGCAGAACTACAAAAGCCAGTGAACACTACTAAGCCCCAATACTCAGAGAAAAGAAGGGGAACAAAGAGTTGAATGGAATTTAGATGGATGAGAAGATAACAGACAAACAAGAAAAGGTAAAATGAATACATTCATACACACAGAAAAAAAAGTAAATAAAAAGTACTTATGAGCATCTCACATATCTGTAGACCTCTAGGTAGACTTCTTGGTATCTAAATCTATAGAGATTAAAAATTATGTACATACATGCAGAAAGCATGGAAGAAACTAGTTCCTTTGCAATGCTTTTTTCCAAGTTGAGTACAAAGAGTGTTTCCTGTTCCCAATAAATTTTCTTTAGACTTGTCAAAACAAATTATGTATTAGCTTATTAGTCATAAACTATTACAATTACAATAGAAAAATGATCACAGAGTAAGTCAAATGTGATCATTCTCATAAAATGAAAGCATCTGGTAATTTTGTCCATTATGAACTGAAATGTATTTGAGAAATTGTAGAACATATCCAAACATTATTCAAGGCATTTAAAATCCCAGAATTATGTGATTTTGCCTAAAATGTTTACAAAAGGACTCCGAGTGAGATAAAAGCTCAGGAACATCTGAATTCCCTATAGTTTCAGAGAAATTCTTTCTATTAGGAAACACAATTACTAATCTTGTAGAGATGTTGCCCTACATAAACTATTCTTTATTGAGGTGTGAAGAGACTGGGATTTCTAGTTCAGCAAGAATTCAAGAGCTAGTTGTTTGCATCAACATTAGCTTTGGACTGTAATTTCTTCCCTACTAATTTATTTTTTTTCCCTCAAGTTCTTTAGTTGGATTAGTTTTTCTATTTTTGAAGAGAAAGATAGAGCAAGCATTTTGGGAAATGCATTAGACGAATTTGGATTCTCCTCAGACAGTTTGTCATTAAATCTATTAAACTAACAGCTTGAATTAGATGTCTGCACAGAAGATGCAGCAAGGCTCCCTTCACCGAGGAGTAAAGAGAACTTGAGGAATGTATGCTTCAGACCTGTGAACTCTCTTAGTGAAAGTGGCAGATATGATAGTCTTGGCTCCTTACAAGATGTAACATACAAAATTGCAGCAAAAACTGGGAAGATACAGATTTTATTTAATTAGTAGATTTTTATATGATCAAAATGTTCCACGAAGCCTGCAAGAAAGTTTCCTCAGGAAAATAAAAATCCCTACAAATTGCTAGAATTCCTTCTGTCGTCTTTTAATGAAATTCCTTGTTTAGACTCACAGCTGAGACCCATGAAAGGATCTAGATTTCTAAGACTGACACTGTAATTTGCTCATTTTAAACAAACGTCATTAAAACTTGTGTTATGTGAATGGCAGTCTCTTCCAAGTACACTGTTAAATGTTACAAACAGAAACTACTTAATACTTACAAGCGTATAGAAGTTGTATTTGTAGCTCAGATTTGAATAGCAGACTAAGCTCTTTATCCTTTAACATTTCAAATGAGGAACTTCAAGTAATTATGTGTAACAAACAGCTTAGTAATCTGATCACCTTTATGTCTGGACAACTGTTATCATTTGGTCAGTCCTCTTTCCAGGACTTCCTTCTAGTAAGGCTACAATTTATTTTTCCCACCGACGACGGGGCAGCTGCACCACATTGGATGGCTCCCAGTCACTCTCCTGTGTACCACTGACCTCCAGTGGCTACAACTATATTTGTTCCTTCCCATTGTGCTCAGACCACTGCCATTCCTATGGAATGATCCTTGGATAACGTGAAGATGTCTGGAAGAAAATAACACCTAGCACTGTATGATCACTATTTCATGGCCACTGATAACAAGTGAGAAATGACTGAACAGTAGAGGCCACTTCCAGCATCAGCATACTGTGCATCATCAAATCAGAAACTAATTTGTGTAGAAAGAAACCTATGGAAGTAACCTGGTTCAACGACCCCTACTGAGAGCTGCTCTGCTTGCTCGCGACCTAATCAGAGTAAGTTCTGAATCTCTAGCAGGATGGAAATTCCACAGACTCTGGGCACTCTGTTCCAAAGACCAACTGCTCACATTAAGAAAACATTTTCACCAATCTTTAATTAGGATTTCCCTTTTTACAACTCATGTCCAAATCACACTGACTCAGTTACATATGCAAAAGAAATGGACAGGGAGCCTTTCTTAGAGAAGTGAATCTCTCTTTGAGACACTGTCCAATCTCCTTGGAAAAGGAAAATGTTTGGTTTTGTAAGTCTTATCTCCACATACATATATCTCCAGGACAGCGGTAGAAAGAGATCAGACCCAAATTACAGAATAATTCCACTTCCAGAAGTTGTCAATGAAAGCAAACTCTGGAAGAAACACTCAAGTTTATACAATCTCACTTTGTTCTGCAAATGCAAAGCTCTCAGACCAACACTTACTGATACATATTCTTTTTACAGTGCGTTTCACAGTCTGAAGAGACCTTACCCATTCTATTTTTAACATTAAATCTTTATTTGGAAGATAATCTGATAAAATTTGTTCATTTAAATAATCTTGTGATTTTAAGCTCCCCATTATTTAAATAATTGCTGATCATGCACATAGTTTCAAAGAACAGTAAAAACACTGCATGACAAAATGCCAATTCATACAATTATCCAAAGTGAATTCCAGACAGATTGCATATCACTTTTTTTCCACGACTACTGATTCAAACACAAAAGCAAACATGTATCTAGAAGTTCTCTATGCACGCCACACTTTCAGCTTTATCTAGATATTAAATAAAAATCAACCATTTCATCATTAAAACAATACATACAGTAACACAAATATACCTCAATGAAGAACACTTGATAATGTTTGAGCTGTCTTCAACGTTCCATTGGTTTGCATTGATTTTAGGGCTAGTCTAACATTCAGCAGTCCAGTAACAATGAATAAGCCTAATGCATTACGTAAGTGTAAGCTGATTAAATCCTTGATCCTGCAGCCACCGCTTTTTCCCCCCTCCCCCTCCAATTTCAAACTTAGCATAATTGAAAAATCTGAGTTTTGTAACTTTCAAATCCTAAATTGTACCACTTTTGGCATAAAACCCACAACTTGTATTAACGTAATCCCTTCAGGTCCTTCTTGTCTTTTAGTAATTTCAGGAACTTGCTAAAAGTCTATTTTAAAGTGATCGGTTCCCCAGTAAATTTTACTTTTATGGCCAAATGTTGTGCTTTTTTAGTATATACTGACTGGCACACAGGTAGCAGCATTTATCACATTGCCAGTACCTATAAAATAAACAGGCGTTTATCACGCTACCAGTACCTATAACATAAACAGCAAATCAAATTAGACAAAGTGATGCTCTCATAACATTCAGTATTGCCAGAAATCAGATTAGAAGGCGTACTGCTCACGGCAGTCCTAATTTCCAGAATGTATTGTATCTCAGTTGAAGTAAATGGGCTATGGGGAATGAGGAGGTCACGAAAGAGTTATGTTCCCCTAGGACACTGTACTCCCATGATCTCACTACACTGGCAGTATGACAATGGAAACAGAATAATCAGATCCATGCAGGAGGGGGGAAAAAGAATTCCTTCCACTAGGCCCAAATGCCATAGAAAACCAGCTGCTAAGAGCTGAAACGTGACTAAACAGCTGAATGGACAAAAAATATCTCACAACTTTTCAGCATATTTAGCTGTATGTGTGAATTTCAGATGCCAATTATCAGAGAGTATACAAACACAGAATCACTTAACTTGCACAACAGTTTTCTGAATTTTAGGGTTTGGGTTTGTTTTTAAGACATCTCAACTTGAAAAACCCAATGTTTTGTTTTTAAACAAAGAGAAAGAGCCCTATGTATATTTATTTTGAAATCAACAGTGTTCCATAATGATAAAAAAGTAGTAATTTGTGAGCTCAACTCCTCTTGAAATTTAAAAATGTTACAGAACAGTCAGCTGTAACTACAGTGCCTCAGAAAAAGGAGCAGCACAGCTCTAAGTGAACAAGGACAGATTACATCGTGTTGAGTTCTTACTAGAATTGAAGGTGAGAAGGGACAGAACAAAGTAAAGGGAATTCCATCCAACTACGGAGCATAAGATTTTTAAGACATGGTAATTTTGAAAGAGATACACTACATGTCTCTTGTAAAAGAGACGATGGTCAAGCCAGGTTTCACTGAAAGCTATAAAAATGATGTATCACGCATAGCGTAGGCTACTTAAAATTAGCAACTTAGTAATACTTTATCTAAACAACAACAAAAACCCAGAACCTAGCACTTAAACGAGTATAAGGAAGTTGCACTGCAGGTTTCTACCTCCTGTAGGCATCTGAAAACATCCCAATCCATGAACACTTTTTCACATTTTAACATAAGCGGCTGAGTCACAAACTCAATATTAGTGATTAAAGAAAGCAGGGAGTGAGGGGCAAGGTACCTGGACAGGGAGTAGTAGTACACAAGTGTAATAGAGCTGACTGTTTCCTCAAACAAATAAGACAGAGAAAGGCAGGTGATAAAAAGCAGCAGTTCATAAGACTCTAAAGACTTCTCATGTTACAGAAGTGAATTCCTTTTTAGACAGAAGTTTGACAGCTATTCATGAAATCAAAATAGAAAAAGATCTATACATTTTCCACTAGTTACCACCATAACAGATCTTGCAAACCAATACTTCTTAAAACATTCAATATGTGAGTGAAACTGAACAAAAACCTGTATGATTTGTTACATACCCCATTCTCTGTACGCTTCTCCACAGGTATACTTATTCCATTTCTTTGGTTCTGGGTTTGTCGTCCACCTAAAAGTGAAGTATCAGACATACTGCAAAGCTGAGTTTTCAACACAAATGGCTTTCATTCTCGAATCCATACTTCTAAAAATTTGTACATACAGCTTTTACCTATCCTGTTAGGTTATTCTTTGCAGGTAGTATCTGAAAAGATAAAACATTTACCTCACGGACTTCCTCTGTTAACAGTACAGACAAGTAGGTCGACTTGTGTTTTGGCAATGATAATATGAAAGAGAATGTATTCAGCATGACTACTGTAGTTTCACTCTTCTATGTTCACAAAAAGAAGGAGCTCCAACTAAATGTACTATATATGACTATGTCAGAGGAAGCTTCTCCAATGCCTTAAAAACAACTTTATTCTGCAAATTGATCAAAAAGTCTATGGTTAATTAAAATGTTTTATTTGCATTGTTCAGAAGGGACATTTTCCTTGTATGTGACAATGTGGCTTCTGATATAATGTTGTTTAAAGCCAAATTATCCAAATAACTGAATGTTTTACAAAAATATCTAACAAATATATGCATACATCTCTTATTGAATTATATTGTTATATATTATATTATATTATTGGACTTGCTACTTTTGGCATTGTAAGCAAACAGTAGCCACATGGATATCAAAAGAAAACTCAGATCAAAGCAATAAGGTCTCAGACAAACTTGAAATTCAGCTGTCAGTAGTCAGGTTAGTTTAGTGAGTAAGGATAATCTGAGCATGCAAATACACATTTCATTTTGAGATTTTATTCCTATCCTCAAGCCGGTCTGAGAGCAATAAATAATATAACATACAGCCTCTAAATTCTTATACCAGCTGGATCAGAAAAATGAGATTTTTTTCTTTTGATTCCAGTCTTTAAATAAAGCCCCTCATCTAACATGGTTTTATACAAAGACTTTTTTTGTACAACAGACTAGAAATATTTCAAGATATCAATTATTACTACCTATATATATATATTGATATATATATATATATATACATGAAGTACAGAGAAAGTAAAGCTTGTGAGACCTCTCTCAATGATGTCTGTAAAACAGATTTTAGTTTCTGAGGGATGCCAAGTAGTTCACTGAATCTTTTCTCTGGGGGCAACTGAAAGGAAGAATCTTTCCATCTTCTCATACAGCAAACGTGTATTAAGCCTCTCATGCACCAAATTTTTACATAACTACTAAGCATAACAGAAACCATTCTTACTACAAAAGAATTGCTCAACAGATTGGCAGCAATTATTCTAGAGAAGGGAATTTGAGAACATGAATAAACATGACACTGAGGAATGTTCAAAATGACTTTGATACAAGGAAGTTGTGTTGCATATATCTACTGAAATTTACTGAAAGAACTGATAATTGAACTCACTTCAGAAGACATTTTAAATGTTTAGGTGACAGCACTGCAAGATAAGTGTACTTACCCTGTTCATTACTTTCAGCTGGTGACTCCTCGTGCCGAAGAAAAAATTTCACCTCTTCCCTCCGGGGACCCCATTTCTGTAGGTGGTCATACATCATGTGATCAAAGGGAATGGGACGTTCTAAAAACAAAATTAAAAAACCTATCACAACTATTTTAAATTAGACAAAGCTTTATAGAACTCTCATTAAAAATAAGAATTTCATTTTTCTAGTAGTTAAATCCATTCAGTGTGCTTACTGATATGCAACGTCCAAGAAACAAGAGTACACCAACAGAAAACAGTTGCACTGAGTTAAAAACTAGCCTTCTTACTGTAACACAGGTCACTGTTTACAGCTGTACACAACCAGTTTGCAAAACCATACCAAATACCAGTGTTTACAAACTCTAGTTTAATCATGTCAGGAATTCCTCATCAAAAGCTTTTTTCACGGAGATGATCTTTGCACCTTTGCTCTCCTTCAGCAGATGGATATTTTTCTCTATTACTAAGATAATTAATTCAGTCATAATCTAAGGGTTTCCACTCAGACTAAAAACCACATCAGTATATTGACATTTTGCCTCATAAGAACCTGAGCAGGTGCCTCCACTCCATTATTCAAGGCTGGACATTAGCTTCTTGTATATATGGAATTTCAGGCAAATATTTGAACAAATAAACATTAAGATTTGTACAGCACTAAGTTTCTTTGTTTTCCACAGAAGAAATGCAAAGTATTTTCATATTATAGCTACTTCTTCCAAATTGATCAAATCTATCATTACTAAGTGGTTATTTAGCATTTCAGAATGAATATATATTTCAAAAGCAAACACTTCATTGTGTTTAAATATACTTTCATTTATTTTTATGTTTTTATTAAGGGTAAGAAAAACCTCCCTTTTAAAGCTTCCTAACATTAAGCAAAATATTAGGAGATCTCTTCCAATCAGAATACAGTGACAGCAGAAAAGATTTAATTCATTTTCTTACGTACAGCTCTAAGCAGTCAAATCAACATTTGCTACAGAAAACCAGACTTGGATGGAAACCAGAAGATGGTTTGCATTCTTCATCATTAAATGCAAAACCTCCTCTGCCTCTAAAACTCAAACCACAGCATTTCCTACCAGTCAAAACGCTGCTAACAATCTATCTGTTCCATATTTAACCTATTTGATACAAGATGACAAATTGATTAAAAAATATATTATCTTCTAGAAAGCTTGGGAGGAAGGAAGGAAGAAAAAAAAAGACAATCAATGTACCTTTTAATAATGAAATTTACCTATATTTATATGTGTTATGAACTATGTAAATATATATACATCTTTGTATAATACAACTAAGTTCCAAGGAGTATCAAGACAACACATTTGGATCACTTGAATTACAATATATTTGTTACAGTAACTGTATTGTCAAAATCTGTCATGTCAAATAGCTTGATCTCATCAATGTCTTCATATTCCTTTATATCCACCTCTCAATATATGAATCAGCACATCCTAAGGAGCGCCTCCTGAATGAAAAAAAATAAAAATAAAAAAGGTTCTCTGTATGCTTTTTTCTCTTTATTTTCAAAGTCTTTTGAGAATAACCAAGGATACAGATAAAGGGATACTGATCACAGCAAGCACTGAAGCATGGGAAGTTATCTCAGTTGAATGACCACTTGCCCATATGGACCTGTATCCTCTTTTCAATTCCAGCAAGCAGTATATGCTTGAGGATGCAGCATAACAAACAGGAAAGTCTGAGGTCGGAAGGGACCGGTTAGGATCAAGTCCATGCAGTTGTCCAAACAGTCCATGAACTCCAGCAGCTCAAGGGCCATAAAAAAAGCTTTGGGCAGGCTTTTCCATGCCCGCCATCCTCTGGGGCAGATCCTTTCCCTAACCCCCACCTCCACAACCCCCCTCCCTGACTCTCCCCTCACACAGCTCCACACTGTTCCCTCAGGTCCTGTCACTGCCACAGAGAGCAGAGCTCGGCCCCTTCACTCCCTGTGAGGAGCTGCAGATGCCATGAGGCCGTGCCTCAGCCCCCTCTGCTCTGGGCTGAGCAAACCCAAGGATCACAGCCAATTCTCTTATGTCTTGCCCTCTAGAACCTTCACAAACTTTGTAGCACTCTATTAGACATCCTCTAATAGTTTTGTACTCTTCTTACACTGTGCTCTGGATTCAGGGATCTGAACCTGACTCCCTTCCTACTGTCTCAGGGCAATGGAGCCCAGCTCCCACCCCTTCGGAACAGAGGTCATCTACCACTTAGGACTCAGCTACTGTTCACAAGGGACCCGGCTATATTTCAGCCTTCAAAGGTCTCCTGAAACGCAACTACCACCAAGATCGGCACCTGTGGCAGCTCCACTCAGACCCTGAAATATAGATTACATCTATTATGAGAACAAAAGTTCAGCAGCAAATACACTTTTAGCGGGGAAGGGTCATTTAAACCACATGCTAACTAAGGTAAGGCTTAGTCCTTACCATCTTGCAAAAAAAAAAAAAAACTAAAAAACAATACAGACCAAAATTAAACAAAAAGTAACACACAGGATTAAAAAACATCGATGCTTTTCTTTTCCTTTTCTTGACCCTTACTCAAGTGGATTCCATGAAACACTGTCAATACAGTCTGTGCACACAGGGATAAGGCCAGTGGCTTACTACAACTACTTCTTGAAAAAGAATTTTAGAAACGCGATTTTCAGGTTTTTCAACTCCTAGAGGGAGGTAAGATTTCAAGTGCTCTGAAGCAGATCCACTAACATTGGAACAAGAAACTGAAGATCACAATGAGCAAAATACCTAAAGTTTAGTTCAGAGGACACAGAAGGTCTGAAGCATTACAATTTTTTTCCAAGTAAAATGATTGTTAGCTAAACCTAGTAAGAACTGAAGCTTGATAACAGGTACCAAGAAACTAGATGTCTGAACAGGGTTGGGCTAATTCTGGAGTGGTGAGGAGTGGCTGCAGCATCACTGCTGGTTAAGCTGGTATCCCATTACAAGGCCCCGATCCTAGGAACTATTCAAAATAAAAGGTTCTATTGACATAATGCATCTTTAAGAATCAATAGTAATTTTCACACATGACCCCGCAGAGAAAAGGGAAATACATTTTCTACTACTTTTTCAGTACTTCCACCAAAACAACTTGGAATGAATATGCAGCCATAAGTTAGAGAAAGCAGCACTGAGAGCATCATCAAAGAAAATGATGTAGTGACAATTCTGGGCAACTTAGGTAGACAAAAGATACTTGGAAAAGAAACAGGAAGAGGAAAGGGTTGTTAATGTTTGACACAAAACATGATTTAATCTGTAAAACTGCAGGAAGAAACATGATCTTATATTTGCTGCAAGTCAGGTTAGCACAATGGAACATTTCTAGGAATACTAGTTAATCAACAATGAAAAAGCACTGCAGTTAAATATTTCCCAATTATCATGGCTTTAAGTATATTCGTCAGTAACTGTAAAAATACAAGAGGAAAAAAAGAAGGTAAAATAGCGGAATGAGTATAGAGTAGCAATAAATAGTAATAGTATACCTTAATAATAAATATTTCTTGATAGGAAAAGATAAGGGAGAAATGATCACCTACACATATATGCATCACGGCAAAACCTGTCTTAAAATGGGAGTTAGGCAAAAATTCTGAAATACTAACTTGAGTATTGAACTTTCTACCTAGCCAGGAGTTCACTGCAAGAACACAAAGCGTCTTTACCATCTCAGGTTTGCAGTTGTTTACTACAAGGGTACTTCTATTTCTTATACAGTCAGTAGCCTCTTACAACTAAGTTCAGGAAGACTAACATTACCAATTGCTGAAGGGCATTCCAGATGTAAATGAAGCAGATAATTGAGCAATGGGTGGATTTAAAAGGTTGAAACCCATTCTCTTTTGAAAGGTACTACAGGTTTCAGGCATGATACCTGTCTTGTGACATCCATACCCATCACAATTTGCAATTGCTGGGGAATGAGGAAGAACATTCTGCATTTTTTTTTCCCCTGTCATAGCATGAGGAATCCAAGAGAGGAAGCTTCAATCTGAAAAAGCACAGGGTGCTATTTAAATTCACTGATACATCAGGCATAAACGCTGTTGTGTTCTTCAACAATTAATCATTTCAAGAAATTGGAAAAGAGGGGGAACAGAGAACAAAATACCGAAACCAAATACATTTTGACCAAACCCTTGAGCCACGCAACTCTGAGGAGAATCAGCTTCTTAACTGTAATACAGACAGTATCAATTTTACAACTCTTGGGAAGATCCTCAACTGTTTCTTTATCAAGCAAAAGAAAACAGAAAAAAGCCTAACATTCAAATAAGGAAATTTAGCAACAACTAAGCGATTGCAACCCTTTTCTAAACTAGCAATCTCAAATCATCGTTGATGCCAAATTTGCAATGATTTAAATAACATCTTACTGGAAGACAAATAATTCCTCTCTTTCTCCCTCTCTAAAACTAAGTAAAATGAAGTGTTTCTGAGTTATTTATTTGGACACGCATATTGAAAAGATTAAGACTGATCATTTTGTTAGATTGACACATTTTAGAAAACAAGCTTCTGGGCACAATATTTTTTTTTAATACCAAAATTAAGGTATTAAAAGTAATTGAGGCTCTACAACCTCAATTGCTTAGAATTCAAGTAGATGTGAGTTATTTAAATAGATAACCTAAGAGATGATCTGTAGAACACAAGAGGTAATCACATTTGCAAAAGGACAGTTGTGACTTCTGCCTTACAAAAGGGACAGAGATGTGATCTGTCACCTGAACAATGTGGGTTATTTATAACGTATCAAAAGTCAGTGTTTTTATCCAAACGCCAACTTTGAGAATTAAATTTTGTTTTTAATATCACTTTTCAAAATGACTTCTGAAATAACATTTGCAAATCTCTCGAGGACAAGGGCTGAGGTGTCTGAGACAGCGTAATTATTACAGAGACAAAAAATACTCATCTACTGGCAGAGCAGTTTCATTGCAAATTATTTCACACTTCCCACTATGAACCATGGTTTGGGTTGTTCGCTGTTGTAACTGTTTTGACTCATGTTTTCTGCAGCAGATCTCTGCTCCAGGCAAAGTTATTTTTAAAAGCTGCAATGGTAAAAGTTTAATTTAGCTCCAAGGAGCAGCTGACAGAAAATTATCATTCCTATGCTCTCTTAAAAAGAGATTTCAATTTGTTTCACTGATAAACTTATATACCCTTAAACTTTGAGGTAAGAAGTTGAGGCCACCAGCTCACAGATTTTATAATATCCTACAACTAAGAAACAGAAACAAAACGCATATCACAAGATTCCTGTCAGACAGACTTCAGAAACAGTGTGCAGAAAATCATTTTAATGATGGTATAGGTCTGCCTGAGAGTTCCAGAAAGGTTTGGAGGTTTTTCAGTTTGTTTTCTTATTTCTGCCCCAATTCTTCTCCTTTTCTAGTCATTTTGTTCCACATTTTCAGTGAAATATAAACCATACACAAATCATCTTGAATAAGACAGATCTGTGATTGCTGAGCCACAAGTACAGTTTGAAGTTTGATATTCCCATTCAACAGGTAGAAGTGTTGGGAAGCATTCTGCTTCTAAGCTTGTTTCAGAGAACTGGGGATGCTACAATGCTCTATCAAGCAGGTAATAACTGGCCAAAAGCAGTTACCTCCATATTCTATTCACTAAATAGTTGACAGAGATCTAGATGTTAACAGGATCCAAGACACATAATTCACAGGCTAGACACCAAAATCTAGTTTTATTTCTTCCACCTTTCCCTGGATATACTTTATTTCTCACTTTATACAAACTTCTAACATCAGTTAGCTGACATTTTGGGAAACAGCGTGTTATTTCCACAAATGAAGTATTTTCTCAATTCTAGAAGGCATTAGAGAAAGTTTGTGCTTTCACTTGCTGGGGTTACAAGGCATAGAAGTCCTAAGATGTGGATCACAGGCTAGAGTTTCTTTTGCTGCTAGCTGAGAACATTCTTCAGATTTTTAAGTACATCCTCAAAGCACTGTAAAAGCAGAAGGACAAATGATACCATATATGTTACACTTTCACAGGCCAGCAATTGCAAAATATTAGGGTTAGGTAAGTGCAGGTTTTTTTTAAAAAGCGTGCAGATCCATTTCATAAATTTATATGATGCACTTGGCATTTATAGATCCCCTCATAACCTAAACTTCTAAACTAGAAAATTTTTAACAACGCCATAAGCTTTATCCTTAAAGAGCTTTCTGTATTAAGTCATTTTGTATTCCTAGAACTGCAGACATGTTCAGCCTCTCCCTTGCTTACTCTGGCCTACACTCTTCAAATTCCCATCCAATTAGGAAAATTGTTGAGCCCCCTTTTCTCCTTATAAAGCCATAGAACAGTTAGGAAATGAAAAGATACCCCAGTAGGAAACTATTCTAGATTGCTAATGCTTAAAAGCTCCACAGGCATCTGAATAATGCAATAAACTTGTCTGCTTTACAAAATGAATAAGCAGCCCCTGAAGAAATACAACCCTTCTATAAAAAAATATGAAGAATCCTATCTCAAGTTATGACCCTAACAGTCTTCATAGAAAACCTGATGACAAATATTAATTCAAATAGGAGTGACCTTAGTAACTGCAGGATGAGAATGTATTATCTTCACTCATCCACTGATCCTACCCATATGTTGGTATACTATAACCTGGAAGCTTGCACTACACTTAACTGCTCAAACTCCTCTAGAAGCAGAGTCCAGAATACACTTGAAGAGGATCATCCCCTCGTTCTGTAAAATAAAAATTGCAGCACAAAAAGATGACAGACTGCTGCTTTCTCCAAGAGAAACTGTGAAGTGTTTGATGGTACATATTCATGAGAAATTCAGAGATCTACATCTTATTCTGGTGCAATTCTATCTGCAGAACTTTTGTTATTTAAGATGCAGGAGGAAAAATCCACAGACTGTATGATTCTAATATTCTGTTACAAGCATTCTTAGATTTCAGGTAGTGTTTGTGTGCAGTGAGGAAGCAGGACTGGGAATAATTTGCACCCACCTATTGTATGAGCAGATCACTAGCATTCCAAATTGTTAACTAAATTCTACTCCATCCCTAAGATGCTGTATGTCTATCTGAAATAAATGACACCTAGAAGTGAAAATACACCCATCTTTATTTATTCATTTTTATTTATACTGAGGCAGATACTGAATACTTTATATAACTTGAAAATCTTAAATACAGAAGACTAACATTTTAGACACACATTTTATCAATTTGTCACGGTTGTTGTCATGCCAATTAGTTCATGCTAAGGGAGGAAACGAAGAAAAAACATCAAAAATAATTGCATTCATCTCCACAGACACTGAACACCATGCTTTACACAAAAGTTTGCTAGAAAAAAAAAAAAGGTAAAGTACAATTAGGAATCACTGACATTCAAAACAGTGTTTTGGTTAAATAATTGTCATATGAATTTAAATCAATTTCCACCATACATTTTGCTTACCATTTCCACGCCATACTTCAGCCAGGTGGCAACTTCCTTCTCCAGGCTCCTTGCAGAACTCCACTACATCACGACAGGTTGTTTCTGGTGTAATTGGAACTTCCGTCAAAATCTGCTCGTTGTTACTCAGAAACACAGTTAATATCATCTGAAAGAAAAAAAAAAAAGAGCAGAATATTCAAAATCATGACTAAAATATGGGTAGAACAAAGCAAAAATCAAACACAGGGACAGAAAGTGACATCTTGTGAAGAGCTGCAGCTGCTTAGTTACCTGCCAGAGCTAAAACCACTGAGAAATCAGAGGTTTTCCCAGTTTTCTTCAGCTCCCACCCCCAGCTTGCTGTGTTGATCAGATATGTGCAACCTCGTCGCAGAAACACTAAGCTTGCTTTCTTCATTCAAATCTATAACAAAGGACAACTTTCCCTCTAGTAACTGCTGTCAGAAATTCCAATTGGAAAGTTGCCACCTTAAGAATATTCCAGATGACTTGACGTCAAAGAAAACAGAAAGAAGAAAAAGTAGAAAGAACTCCGGAAGGCAAAAGCCTAGTTCTAAGAGATAACACTACCCTAAGTTGAAATAAATTTCTATTCAAATTCCTTTCTTCTTAAATAAATGTGCACACAAACACATCCAGAGCTATTCCTATCCTTCTTCATCTCAGTAGATGTGTCCTGCTGCAACATCAAGCATTCAAAAAACTGCACTTATCAGCTTACCCCCTTGCTTCACATGTATTATGACATGATCGTTAATAATACATTCATTTGCTACATGAGATTTTCCCAGGGCAGTGGGCACAGCCCTGAGCTGCTGGAGTTCAAGAATCATTTGGAATACACTCTCAGCCATAGGGACACCGAGCTTTGAGTGGCCCTGTGTGGAGTCAGGATTTGGAATCGGTGATCCTTGTGTGTCCCTTCCCACTCAGAACATTCTGTGATTCTATGTTTCTACAAATTTCCCCTGCTAAAGACCTCTGCCTCATATAATGTTCTTAATGGATTTGGTTTGTAGGCCCTCATGGCATTAACTGCAAAGGGTTGGAAATGTGTTTTCAACAGCTGAGGGGCTTGTAAGAAAATAAAAATCCAAGAAACAGAAGTCCTAATATAGGGATTCTGAAGAGATTCATTTTTTCCCTGAAAGAGAGTGGTCTGAGTACCAGCTAAGGTTGTATTTGGAAGCAGCTATTTCTATGTCAGACTAAATCCTCAAAGAGATACCCAACCTTCAGCTCTTGCTCAAAATTTCACATCAACTCCTCTCCCTCACACCTCAATTTCCAATCAGTAAACAAGTCACAATACTGTTCTGTAAACTTACAGCAATGGAAGACAGATAAAGCAAGATTTCAAAGATGTGACTTTGATAATGGATGTCCCTAAAGAATATGAGCAAATTACTGACTTTGTCTTCAGAAACAGTACTCAGATCTTTCTAATAAATAAAATTTAGCATCATATATTGAACTACAAAGATTAAACCTAATCATTTAGCAGCTCTTCATTAAATGAGCACTTCACTTCACTAGAGTTGTGCTTCAATTTGCACAGATCTTACATATTTGTAAGATCTTTCATTTCTGAGACCTGTACCAAACTGGAGGTCTGCATTACTAACAGCTACACACTGAGCAAAAGCAGTCTATCCCAGCACTCTGACTATTTCAGAAACGCGACAAATTCCAAGGAATTTGGATGTTTCCACTTCTCAGTTTCCCCGTCAGACCTTCAGGCTATTTTAGCCCACATTTCTACACTCTCTCAGCCTGCCAAGCTTGTACTTATCCTCAAGTTTTCAAATTATCTCCATTTCCATGCAAAGAGCAGCCCTCTGGGGCTGTAAATATACTAGCACTCACCCTTGAGTTTCTTCAACAGTAATATTAAAGTGAGCTACAGTAGATAGGATACAACAGCAGATAATGAAGATGTCTGTAACCAACTGTTGTTTACAGCTCACAATGTTATTTTTCCTCATACACAGAGTTGGGGCAGCCAGAACTCAGTGGATGTGGAACCTTTTACAGAATATATATCTGATGCGGAATCCAGTAGTGGAATTTTACCTAGTATTTAAGAGGAAAGAGTCCTATATGAACATAAAACTTACAAGGAACCTTAAGAGGTCATCTGATCCAGTCTCTTGCCTCAGGCAGGATCAGCTACACTGAAATTATCCTGCAGAGATGCTTGTTTAACCTGTTCTGAAGAACCTTTCATGATGGAAATTCCACAGCTTTCTTGAACCATCCACCCCAGAAGTCCAAGACTGTGGTTGTAAGGAAAAACTCCATAAAGCCTGGTCAAAACTTTACACTGCTTAACTTGAATCTTCTCCTAGCCTCAGACATTGTCATCCAAGATTGATTTTAGATGTCAGTACTAGTACTCTGCTTTCTCCAAGGAACGATATCACTCAATATCATCTGCAAGACAACCAGGAAAGGTGGCTTGCTAACAAAGAGGCAAGGTTCTGTAGCCAGCTGTTCTCATGCTGCTCCCAAGCAAAGTTGTTAAAGTAAGGATTTATTTATTTTTAACAGGTTGTCGGAGTAACACCATGGGAACTGAAACACTGTGCTGTGAAACAGATGGCCTGAAACAAAAGGAAGACTCAAAATATTGAGAATTATTAACATCTCACAACATTAATTAGATTTTCAAGTCAGAGTCATAGCTCTCCCTAGTTGTGGTGGAGATGGAATAATAAAAGGTAATTCATAAGGAAAAAATAGAAAGGAGTGCTGATGGAACGAGTGCTGATGGAACCTTGAAATTTGCTGCTGAAGAATATGAGCAAGGCATACTTGTGAAATACACAGTACACCCACTGACGTAAACTCATTTTATGAAAAAATTGTTCTTACCCAAGGATCAGAATGCAGAGAACTGGTAATTCCTTTGATTTCTCATTTTAAATAGATTCCAAATGGCAACAATTGTGAAAACCCATGTTCTTAAAAATGAGTTCATAATCATATCAGCAATCCAGTTCAACCATCAAAAATCTTAACGTGTGGACACAGCAGGATGCAATAGGATCTACCCACGACTTGTGACTATGTCACTGCAGTGCTTCTGTGCTGTATTTTGTTTCTACAGAATATATACTGAGCTTCAAAATCTTGCACTTGCCTTCTCAGTATACAGATGCCACCTGTCTGCTACTCCTCCTTCCAAACCAATGGCTTTATTCCAATTTCCAATTCCTGCTTCTATTTACTCTTCCCCACTTCTAGTATAACCCTTCATGGTTCAGTTCTATTCCATGGCAGGTAAACTCTACCAACATCACAATCTGCCCTGTTATCTCACTCATTTCTCAGCTTACCAAGAACTTTCCACTCAGCTGAAATCTTTACCCAGCAGAGAGACATATTTACACATATGCTCTTCATCAGCTGTCTCCATTTCTCCAGTTTCAGTTTTCATCTCCCATACCACTCTGTAGCTACATTTAATCACTCCTGCCATTTCTCAAGGAGCAGGAGAGAGGGATAAATTCATAAGATCTTTATCCTTGCTTCCTACCTCCTCTCTTTCCACAGCTGGATAATGTTGCCCACAAGCTTCACCAAGCATTTTCCATAGAGACTGCAATTTTATCTTTCTAGACCTCATTTCTTACTGATGACTCCAAAATCATAACCATCCCCAGTTAATTCTTGTGAATGCCTGACTACCAGTTTGAGTTCTATATGGCTGGCACACAGCCTTTAGATTTCATACTCATTATAACAGAGACCCAACATTAGAAGTTGTAATACAGGTATCTTTGACACCAATCATTTTCTCAGTTTTGTGTCCCAGACCCATCTCTAGTTCATCTGTGCACCACATAAGGTATAGACAGCATTTTCTATCAGCTGATCCAGCTCATGCTCTCAGAACTTGGAAACACACCTATCAGTTTCCCAAAATTTCACTGGTGTGTTTGTTGTTTGTTTTTTTTTTTTCTTAAACTGAGTAAAATCTGTTTCTCAAACCTATGGTTTCAACCACACCATCTTTCTGTATCTGTCCTGTTAAGCACAATTTATTGCACTTCCCTTTTCCACTGTGACATGGAGTCTCCTTCCCTATTGTTTTTCACTCAATATTAAGTAATTGATGCTGAAGTGGTCCTTTACACCAGCTTCTGCTCTGCACGTGGTGAAAGATGTCCCTAGGCTATCTTCTGTACTGTTTATTGTGCTTATATACACCTAAAATTTACCCTTTTCCACAAACAACTTCCTTTGTCATTCTGGTTACAAAATAGACAAGCTACAATGAGCTGAAAAAAAGCTACTAAACAGGCAGATGCAACTCGTTTTGCCTATTTAGACTCCTCCAGCTGATCAGTTCAACTCTCACTAATGCTATTATTTATCATTGGGAAAAAAACATATAAGAACTACACAAAACTAAAAAGTTACAGCTGATACGTAGTTTTGGAATTGCTTAGAGAGTTAAGAACTTCCAACTTCATTCAAAGCCTTTCCTCACCCTTTTCCTGCAGTCTTACAAATAAAGAAAGAAATAACATCCAGCCACAGCCAAAAAGCCAAAACCCAATGCTTTTGATCTTCAGCTACTATCTCAAATTATGAAGGACAGGTATATATTTGGATTCTCTTTGACAAGTATTTTCATAGAGATAACACATACATCTTGCTCAAACAATCCCTATATTACCCCAAGATAGAAAACACTGATGCTTGAATAGAATTAAACCCCATCGCCTAAACTAGGACATAAAATCCCTCAATTGCCTTATGTCCAGGTTAATTTACTAACTCAGATAATGCAGTACACTGTGGCATTCCAGGCTAATATAATTCAGTATAAGCACACATCTCCTGATACCCTGCTCTCTGAAAATTGATTTAAGCTATCAGAAAAGTGCTAAGGGGTGAAAAACCGTCCCTTTGGTGACAAGCTAGTAATCCACAACCCTGCACAAAAAACGTTCAGAGAAAAAAAGTTACAAGGTTACAAGTTATCAATTACTTCATGCAAGTTTGCTTGCTTGCATGGAATTCATGCCGCTACATAAATCTTGCATTGGTTAAAGCTGTAGTAATTCTAGTTGCACATTTCAAGCTCCAAGACTGAATTGAATTTTCCTTGCAATACATACACCGTCCCTTTTTCAG